GGAGACATAGGACCCTCTCCTGTTCCATTCTCAGTTCATCAAGTGCAGAAAACTGCTGCTTTTTCAGCAGCTGGAACTCAGGAGACCCTCAGCTGGATCTGGGAAGCCAGTCCTGTCCACCCCAGCAGATGCTGTGTCCACGGTGGTCCCCAGTCACACAGTCCCCAGCAGGCCTGCTTTCGGAGACCCTGGCCAGCCTGTCCTGCCAGCAGCTCCCGTTAGCTGGCTTGCCTCCCTCTTTCCTTCTCGCTCCTGTGAAACAGACCCCTCTTCCCCTGATAGGAAGCCACCCCAACCTGGAATTCTATGCTTCAGGTACTTTGCTGTTAGAAAATCGCAATGGCAGGTCCAGAACCCTCTGCCCCGAGTCGGGTGAGGCCGGGGCTGGGCTGCCCGCCTGCGCTCGCTGCTGGCCCTTTCCCACCAAGGCACCGTCCCATTTCTGTCTTAAGCCAATGAGATCGCCAGCCCTGCGTGGGCTCACCAGTCAGTGCCCCCAATCGGGGTGGCCCCCGGTTACCCCACCGACAGATCACCCCCAGCTCTCACCACACCAGGTTCCTCGGGTCCCTGTGGCCAGGCCAACCGGCTGCCTTTTGGGTTAGTCCGCTCCTCCAATCTCTGGCCACTCCTCCGGGGTCCTGGGGAGCCCCGCTGCTTATCTGCGTGGGGTTTCCGTTCTGAGCCCCACTCACCCAAGCCATTTGGGGTTTTTCAGATTCTGGTGGCCAGTCACTATAGAAAAATACACAAAAGTGGACAAAAAGAGGAATATCAGAGTTAATTTCTTGCTGGCCCTAGTTTACCTTTAAATTAAGGTGATTTCTCCTCAAGGCTAAGGGTCCTTTCTCAGCCTATCGCAGTGGCTTCAATGTGGGGCGGGAGCAGTCTTGCCCCCCGAGTACGTTTGGCAAAGTCGAGGGACATTTGTCGTTGCTACAACAAAGGGGATGCTACTGGCATCTAGTGGGTAGACGCTAGGGATGCTGCTAGGCATCCTACAGCGCACAGACAGCCACCACGACAAAGTCTTTGGCGCCCAGCGGCACCAGTGCAGAGGCTAAGGAAACGCCATCTAGACAGGAGAGCTGACCCGTTCTCGTTCTCGTTCTCCCCTCCGGCGTAGCCACCCGGCCTCCCGGGCCTCCGCGCTCCGGTGCTGGCTCCCCTGTGCTCTCTGAGTGCCGAGACTCTCGTCACCGAGTGTACCGCTCCCCTTGCCAACAAACTCATGTCCTAAAATAAGGATGGCTGTCACTTTGAATTTGGGATCTTTACCTTTCTTCTAAACTTCAGACTTTATCCTCCTAAATAACAGGCTGTAAAAATCTCCACCCAGACTCCTCATCCTTCGCCTCTGTCCCTTTACACCCCAAAAGGCTCTGCCTCCACATCAGCCCCTGCCACCTTCCCTTTCCCACTTGCATGTCCTGATCCAGGTGCCAAACTTTGGCTCTGCCACCTTCTGTGCTATTATTGTAGCACATAAGCTGCTAGAGGGTCCTTTGGGACCCCTCAGGACCCCTACGTCAGCCTCCGTGCTTCCTCCCCCAGGTGCGGGCCTGCCGCCCCTTGTGTTCCCTCCGAGGCCTTCCTCCATGCTTCCCTGCCGGTCCCAACACCAGCCTCAACTCCTCCCTCGCGGGCCAGCAGAGAAAACCATCAGCACCTCCATTTCCTACCAAAAGAGCCTCAAAACTGCTTGTCCTGATGTTCCTGGTGTCCTGGGAGGGACCCCATCCCGGTTTTTCTGCCTTCCCTCCCAGTGCTCTTCCAAAACCCCCCAGGGTGGCCTGATCGCCCCACCACTTGCCCTTCCATCTTGGCTCCTCGCTGGCCAGCACCTCCCATCCCCCACGTCCTATTTGTAGTCAAGCCCTCCGCCCCCCCCCACGGAAGGAAGCCCTTCTGAAATGCCATTTTCTCCATCACGATTTTCAGGGTCCACCCAATCGAAGTTCTTTCATTTCTGTGCTGCTTACCCTTAGAACGGTTATCTGCCCCGTCTTTATCCCCTCAGAGCATGTGCTCTGCAGAAACAGTGTGGGACAAAGGCGTCCGACGGGCCCACTGGGGTGTCCAACAAAGAGACCCCCCCTACCCCCTGCCTGATGAATCGTGTTTTGGAAAAGAGTGAGGCCTGGCGAGCGCAACCGTCCCTTTGGGCCCCCATCGCAGCCTCCCTGGGGCTCCAACCCCAACATCTACTGACCTTGCACTTCGGCAGAGCCCAGCATCCCCGGGGCCTCAACGCCTTATCCATCTGGGCTGCTCATCTGCACCAGGGCGGCCAGCCCTCTCTTCCCTCGGGGTCCTGGCCCTCTACTTCCAGGCCCTGGAAATCTTCGCCCTCGCCCCAGTGCGGCCCCCTGCGTGGGGTGTTTGCCCACCGCCATCAGCGAGACCAAGGGTTGGCCCCTGAGAGTCCCCGATCACCATGTGAGTTTTAGAGTCAGGAAGAGTGACCCCATGGTGCCAGCGGGCCTCGTGGCGTCCCGGGCCCGGCCGCCCCGGGCCCGCCCCCCAACTGCTTTCAAACACTCCAGCAGCACAACCTCTTAGGGCGTTCCAACGCGGCGCCCCCTATTGGACCTCCCACTCATATCCGGTTTCCGGTCCGACGCCCCCTGCTCATTCGCCAACCAGCCTTGATTGGCGTGACCCCAGCCCAATGGCTGACCCAGCCCTGGGGTCGGAGGGGAGCGAGTTGACTGTTGGGACCCAGTTGGCACTTTGGATGCTCAACGGGTTGAGCCATTGCGCGTGGATGCAGTTGGCCAAAGTTTGAGCCAAAGTTAAGTGTCGGCATTTGGAAGTGTGTAGACTCACGGAGCTGAGATGATACACCTTTGGGGGAGCCCAAACGTTACCCAGAGTCAGACTTTGTCAGCTTTCCTCCGCGCAGCACGGCAACGCCGATGGCAGATGCGGGGGCAATGCTGCACTGTGGCTGTGGTCTTCTCATTCTACAAGGGAAGCGTTAGATTTAATGAGATTGGATTGTGAGTGGTTCTCCCGCCCGCATCTCGTCGATACCGCGATCCAGGCGGTGCGCCTCGCTCGCCGCAGCCCCCCCTGTGCTACACTCATCCCGCCATCCCTTCCCCTGCCCACAAGCCAGGTGCCCACTTTTCCCCTGCCCAACTGCCTTGCACCGAGATCTAAAAGTGGCTCGCAAGCCCGTGTCACCCTCTGGCAAGACAGACCTAATGCCGTGTCCCGGGTTGTACGTGATCCGCAAGCAGCAAAATTTTCCCGGGGCTCAAATCCCACTGCAGACCCCAGAGCCAGAGCAGTACGCACACATGTGCGGAGCCTACCCAGGCAGTGCGGGTATTTACTGCACCCCCTCCCCCCGCGAGCTCTGAGCCCACCACGCGCCACGGAGACCGGAGCGCAGTTGGCGGCTGGTGGTTTTTTGACTAGGCTTAGGGGCGCCTCGGCGGGCACTTGCAGTTGGAAAGTAAACGCGGCTACCTGGAGATACCCATAGCGAGAGGAGAGGTGCTGGAAGCGGGCTGGAGAGGGGCTGGAAGTGGGTTGGTGAGGAGCCAGAGAAAGGATCTGGCTGACCGACCCTGCGGCTGGTGCCCGAGGCAGGAAGCCGCGAATCGCGGCAGCTGTTGCCGGCACAGCTCGGCACGGCGCTGCGCGGCACGGCACGGCACGATATTTGTCTTTGGGTTCGGTGCGCGCAGGGTTGACCAGTCTCTGAAACCACCCTAAATCGGCCATAAATCCCAACTGAAACCTCCGTTAACATTTCCCCAGAGCAGTAGGACCCCCGGAACGCTGAGGCCTGCACTCTGTGGGGTCCCCGTGCGCATCCCACGCCCTGCGTTCTGTGCCGGCGCGGCTACTGTTTAGAGGGTCTCTGTGGTACGTGCCCGAAACCCTCTTATTCCCTGAATCATTTGTCCACATAAACGAGGGAGAACTGGCCTGCGCTGTCCTCAGCCACTGTGGAGCCTCCCCCGAGAGCGAGGTGGGGATGGGGGACATGAAGCGCTCTACGCTGCCAGCCTCGGCAAGCCGGCAAACACATGCCGCAGAAGCGGTAGAAAGTACCCTAAGGCGTTTTAAAAAACAAATCATGTGCACAAGCTCGCCATCCCCTTGCCCCTCGCCGCTGCCTCTCCGCCGGTGGGCTCACGACCACCTGTCGCATCCTCGGGCGCGCGCCCTCGCCCCCTTCCCACGCACCCAAAGCCTTGCGCTCCGGACTTGGGGCTCAGGATTGAAGGCTACCCAGGGTTGAGAACTGCGACCCTTGGATTCAAGGGTCTTTTAAGGTAATGGAACCTTCACGCAGCCCCCCTCCCCCCGGGGAGAGTCAGTTGTGTCTGGGAGGGAGGGTTTCAGTTCCTGCGCTCATGCCGCCCGGGGCCCACGTCTTGCGTCACGTGTCCCGCAACGCAGGAGAGCTGTCTCTCTGGCCAGGGGAGAAGAGAGGAGCAAGGCTCCCCGTCAGTCAGGGAGAGGAGTGGAAGGAGCTAAACATCCCTGCGAGGCCTGCGCTCATCGCCCCCTTACCCAAAGTCCGGGGCTTCCGGAGACAGAAGCCGGCTCCCGCAGCCGCCTGGGCACCGGCCCGGCGTCCCCTGGTGGCAGAGAGAGAGCACTACGAGCGATTTTCGGACCGAATCGACACGCTCCTCAGATCCAAGCAGGCAGGGCTGGCCTGGAGGACAGAGAGAAAGAGAGACAGAGACAGAGAGGAGGGGACGAGGGCAGGCCGAGCGGGGGCCAGGAGCAGCCTGAGGGCATAGAAAGTGTCCAGGAAGGAGATAAGACTCCACCAGCAACAACGGAGTCGCTTCTGCCATAGTCTAGGGTTCGAGGCCCCGACCCCCCAGACCTCACAAGGGCTGAGAAGTGAGGCTGGAGAACTTCCTAGCTGGTGCTTTGGTTTTCTTGGAAAATATTTTCTTCGCCCTAGTTTGGCTGGGTGCTCCGTCTCACGGGGCCCCAAGTGTATTTTAAGAGTCCGCCACCGTGTTATGGGCGTGCGCAACTGCCTCGACGGCAATACTATGTCAGGACAACGCGATATCCCCCTTGAACTCGGGGGGCAGCCCGAGGAGCAGCCACCTTTGGAGGCCTCGGGGGCAGCTGCCCCCGGTGCTGGGCCTGGCGCAGCCGAAGGGATGGAGACCCAGCCGCCTGGCAGCGAGCCCGTCCCCACAGAGACTGAAGGCGAGGCCTGCGGCCCTTCAGAGGTCTCCAGGCCCAGCTTCCAGGGCCTCGGCAAAGCCGACGAGGAAGCCAGAGCCCATGGAAGCTACAGCCCACCTCCCGAGGAAGCCATGCCCTTCGAGGTGGGGCAGCCCAGCTTGGGAGGCTCCTGGCCGACCCTGGAGCAGCCCAGAGAGGCCAATGTGGCCCCTGCAGGCCTCGAGGCCTTCAGCCCAGGGCCCGTGGAGGCCAGAGCCCTCGGGGAGGCCGGGCCAGGCCTGGGAGGCTACAGCCCCCCACCCGAGGAAGCCATGCCCTACGAGTCTGAGCCGCCTGCCGGCAGAGATCGCAGCCACCCTCTCCTGGAGGTCTCAGACCTCGCTCCAGGAGGCCCGAGGGTGGGGGTCCCTCGCGCTCCCCCCGAGGAGCCCGGAGCCCTCAGACCTGCCGACGCGGGCTTCAGAGGAGGCAGCCCTCCCCCTGAGGAGGCTATGCCATTTGACTTTGATGGAGCAGCCTTCGGGGACGACAGCCCACCCCCTGGGCTCCCCCGAGCTAACCTACAAATCGACGACGGTGGCGGCAGCCAGTTCGCGGCAGTCGCGGAGCCGAGTGCGGTCCTCCTCGCTCCCGCCGCGAACGAGCCCCCCCTCCGGGTCCCAGGCGCCATCGGCAGCGCATCCCGAGAGGCTGTCAGATCTGTTCCACACTTCGTGGGCAACAGCCCCCCGATGGAGATCGCCGGACCCCCACTCGAGATTGGCAGCGCCCCCGTTGGGGTCCACAACGCTCCCGTCAACATGGACAGCCCCCCAATCGCGCTTGACGGACCGCCCATCGAGGTCTCCGGAGCCCCAGTTAAGAGAGAGCGAGCAGAGGGAGAGAGACCCCCAGTCGAGGGCGAAGCAGCTGAGATGGAAGGAAGCTCAGCCAACTCAGCCGCCGGCGCCGCCACCGCCGCGGAGGGACGCCAAGTCCCCTCTCCGGGAGATGGAGCTTCTGCCGCCGGGGCCGCTCCAGACGCCGGGGCCGCTCCCGCCGCCCCAGCAGCCCCAGCCGCGCCTGCAGCCCGGGCAGCCCCTGCCGCCTCCAACGTTCCAGCCGCTGGGGCCGCCCCAGTCGCCCCAGCCATGCCTGCTGCCCGGGCAGCCCCAGCCGCGCCTGTCGCCTGGGCAGCCCCAGCTGCCGGAGCCCGCCCCAAGCTCCATTCCCTCAGACCCCCCAGCCCCGAGATCCAGGCTGCCGATCCGCCTACTCCGCAGCCTCCGCGCGCGTATGCCTGGCGGGGCAGGTCCGAGCGCGGCCGCGACTACGACGAAGGGTCGGTCAGCAGCAGCGATGAGTCCGACGATGGGACCTTCGGATGCTCCCGCTGCTTCCAGCCCCGGCGAAATCGCCGCCGCCGAAAGCCGCAGCGTAACTTGCTCCGCAACTTCCTCGTGCAAGCTTTCGCGGGCTGCTTCGGCCGATCTGAGAGCGCCGAGCCCAGAGCCCCGCGCGGCCCCAAGGTCAAGAAGATTCCTCTGGCGGAGAAGCGCAGACAGATGCGCAAGGAAGCCCTGGAGCAGCGCGCTCAGAAGCGCGCGGAGAAGAAGCGCAGCAAGCTCATCGACAAGCAGCTCCAGGACGAGAAGATGGGCTACATGTGTACGCACCGCCTGCTGCTTCTAGGTACTGCGGCGGACTCTGCCCGCGGGGAGCAGGGCCGCCGGGGACCTGGGAGGGGGTGGAAGGGCTGCCCGGTGGGGCTCGGGGCCTGGTGGCGGGAGGTGGGTGCCTGGGCAGAGGCCAGAAGAGCCTGCTAAGAAGTTCCAGCGAGGGGCCCCAACTTTGCCCGGGGAGTGGGCCGGGGGGGTCTCTGGGGGGCTTGGGTGGTCGAAGTATATACCCTCCAGGGAGGAAAGTGGTGCCGTACAACACTGAGGGTCGTTTCCAGCTGGACAAACCAGCGCCAGCGACCATAAGACGACCCCGAGTCCTGGGGTGGGGGACGGCCAGGAAGGCGGGGGCCTCAGGTGAGCCAGGAACTGCCGGGGAGGGGCCTCGGGGTTCCCCCCCACCCCCGGCTAAGCTGGTTGGGGCCACGGTGGGCTGGGGTCGTTGGGGAATGTGCGCCCCTGCCTCGCCTGGCACGGCTGCTTGGACTCAGACAGCTTGTCGTTGGTGTGTGTTGGTGTCCATATTGTGTCCGCTTGTGCATGACATGCTCAAGTGTCCCCCAGTTCCCATCCCTGGCACCCCCAAATTACCCGCCGACTGCGTACTTGTACTGGGGAACTGGCTGTTCTGTGTTGTGCGCCATGGCGCGGGCAAAAACTTTGCGTGTTCGCACACTCCGGAGGTGCCTGCGAGCGGGCGCTCTGCAGCGGGCGCCGCGGACGCCGCCGGGAGACAGTGGCGGGACGTCTTGGGTAACGTGCTGGGTCCCTGGCCGGGGGGGGAGGGGTCTGCCTCCCGCCGGCCTCCATAACCTTTTTTTTCTGTATGTCTTTCTCTCTTTTTTCCCTTTGCGCTAAGCGTTTCCTCACTTCTCATTCGTTCGCCAAACCCTCCCGCCTTTACGGTTGAAAAACCAGACACTCAGGTACCCGGGGCGTCAGGGTCTGCACGCGGACGCTCGGTATTCTGCACACACCCGGCTCGCCCGGTGGGGGGAGTGGAGGGCCGCGGGCGGGGACACCACGCAAATCTGCGGTAGGCAAGTCTGGCTCCAAACCACTCGGGGCTGGTTCCAGGGGGTGGGCGTGGCTGTGCTTTAAAAATATGAAATAATTTTCCTTCCTAGGGACGAGCGCGAGGTAAGCCAATCGTTTACACTTTCACCCTAGTGCAGTAGGAGGGGCTTGGTTTGAAAGAGGGGCTGTGCCTTGGGAGTGGACTGGCGGCTTGTGTTTGAAATGCAATTAAAATAAAACTTCAAAAAAATGCTCCGCGTGTATCTTAAGTGTGTGGACAAAATGTAGTAAAACTGACTGTGACTTGTGAAAAATATAAACATTTGCATGTGAATCTTTTCAAGCAGCTTTAGCTGGGGGCAAAGAGGCTCAAAGGTAAGACCCTCTGCAGATGGGCTGGGGGTACAAAAGGAGAAATTAGAAGGTCTTGTGTTGATAGTCATATTGGAAGGGTCCCTTCTGGGGCCCTCTGCCTGCCCCTGGCCCCCTCCAGGCCCCTCCCCCTCCCGGAACACCACCCCTCCTTATCTTCGAGACCTTCCCTGGCCCCTCCCAGTCCCCACCCCCTTTAGCCTCCTCAAGGCTCCTTAGCTCCAAGGAGGGGGGTGGGGGGGTTGGCTCCCTGGGCCCTAGTGAATCACAGCAGTGATTAGCAACGGCCTGAATGTGTGGCTTAAATGAAAATGTCAAAAGTGAAACGCCACAATCTTAATTTCTTTATTTTAGTCTCTAAAACCTTTCAAGGGATTTGAAGATCACCATTTCTAAGGCTTTGCTACATGTTTGTCAAATGCTTTATAATACGTGATGGTTTTAGTCGATGGCATTGTGGACAAAGCTGTATGCTGTTGTGATGTGCGTGTCTCACAAAGCGCAGTTTTAAATGTGATGGTCATTTACGCCCACCCAGGGAGATGGTGATGTCATCATTTTACCAAAAACCTACAGGAGGGAGGTGGTTTCAGCTTTGGATGTGCCAACTGCACCAAAGCCACAGAGCCTCAGATGACAAGGCACTGTTTTCGTGCAAACAAATGACTTTTCCCTGACAGCCCCATTTCAGTGGCCCAAGCAGAGCTCTGGGGAGCGAGCTTCTGGAGGGAAGGGGGGCGCGATCAGATGAGCGCAGGCGCGCCCCCAGTGCGCAGTGCCCCTTGCCTGCTGGGGTCTCAGCAGCCTCACATGTGAAATGAGGCTTTTCCCAGCGGGCCTCTCCCAAAACCGCCTCTGCTCCACGCCTCGAGTCCTCTGTTCCGGGGGGCGGGGGGCAGACTGGGGAGCCCAGCCCACTTCAGTCCGCACTGGACGCTAGATTACGCCACATCTAGCCCGCACCAAACCGGGTCTGGGGCCAAGGCTTAAGAATATTAGAAGTGTCCCTTGTTCTGTGGTGGGGGCTGGGGAGTGAACTTTAATAAAAGGAAATTTGCCATTGTCCTGGCTCTGTCTGCAGGGTGGTGGCCCAGGAGACCGAAGCTCAGGCCATGTGTAGCATGGATCTGAATTCAGAGAGCCAGGCTTAGGGTTTCTGACCAGGTTTCATTTTGCCCAAGTGCCAAGAGAAGGATCCCAGCTGAGTCTGGTCTACTCACTGGGGAGGGGAGCCGGGGGGAGGGTGAGGACTTACATTCGGGACAAGATTTTTTACGAACACCCCAGACCTGGCCTGTAAAACAAGACATCCATCTTCCCACCCCTGAACATGCCGACCAAATGACCATCCTTTGATGTGGCTTTGAGTTTGTGACATGCCGGTTCATCTGTTGCTTTAAAAATGTGCATCGTGTGTTTATCTATATATGCCCTCTCTGTTTTTATTGCCCAAACAGCTTAACATTAGATTTTTTAAAATTGTGGCCGATGTACAGTATTATATTAGCTTCAGGTGCGCAACTTAGCGATGAGACACTTATACCCCTTACGAAGCGACCGCCCTGCGTCTGATAGCCATCTGTCATCACGCGTGTTACTATGGTATTATTGACTATGTCCCCCGCTGCATTCAGGGAATCTTAAAAGGGAAAGAGATTAGAGAGAGAGAATCAATAGCACGACTAAAATTCTGGAATATCGAAAGAGTTTGAAGCCTTTTTCCTTGCTCAGCAGTGGCCAACGATGGATGGTCTCCACGTTTCTGTTGCCCTTTTGAATGCTCTCAGAGGCTTACACATTTCTGGAAACCTAATTTGGGTGTGATTCCCTCATGTTTCAAGCATTGAAGGGACTGCTGGGTTAGAGCCTCTTAGTGGCTGCTGCACTTATTAAACCTGGGCAAAGAAGTGCTACGTGTCCTAATGGCCATTGTGCCATGACACTGTTTCTACAGTGCCTCTCACTTAATTGTATGGCGGTTTCTTTACACCACCAGTTAGGACAGTGACACATAGCACCCTCCTTGTGGCGCCCCCCGTCTTTTCCCCCAGTGCACACATTTTTCTGTATTCAGAGGCCTCCACTGAGCTGTTTGGTGCGGTGGGAAGGGTATGGCTTACCAGGCCGCAACCTTTTTAAAACTAAGAGAGACTTTTATCATCTTCCCTTGTCTGTCTCCCAACAGTATTTTGTGCCCCTCAAAGGCCAAAATTCTTTCTTCTCTTTCCTCTGACTTCTCTTACCCAAAAAAAAAATAAATAAATAAATAAATAAATAAATAAATTTTTTTTCCTATACAGGTAGGTTAAATTTTATCCTTTACCCACATTCCCTCTGCCGTGAAAACTGCTACGGAGCCGTCCTGTGTGTCCCTCCTGGCCCAAAAGAAGGGAGACACAGGCCGCGCTGGCATTGTCAGCAGCCGCAGTGGCCACGGCACTGCATAACGATAGCGCATTCTTACTGTATTTTAAAAAGCCTTTCCCGGAGTCCCATTTGTCCCTTGAAACAGCCTTGGGCAATAAAAACACGGAGAGGACCCCATTTCATAGGCAAATAAACCAAAAGTGCAGAGACACCATGGCAGGGACTTTTGCTCAGACTGAAAGGTAAGGCAGTGAAGGGATCCGCGCTCCCCCAAACACTGTGGCAACATGCCCTATCGCATTATTTAAATGTGCAGCATGACTATTGTGCGTGGACTGTGTGCTCTTAAAATCCCTTGCCAGATGACAGGTGTCCCGCCGTCTTCTGCCGTCTGAATAACAGCCAAGCCCTGACAGATTCGCAGTCACAAGTGACCACAGAGTGTCCGTGAAACGTGAGCTCCCGTGGCCGAGACGCCTGGCATTGCTGCGGGGATATTTAGTTTCCACCATTTGCTTGAGGTCACTGGCCAGCGCTGCAGCTGGAGCCTGTTCATTGGGCCTTTCTTTCCCCTGTCAGATGCAGGTTTTCTTTTGAGCCTTTTTAAAATCCCCCCCATGGTTTTCTGCAGGATTTAAAGCTTCCTTACTGACTCGAGTGTCCACAAAGAACTACAGTAATTTTAAGATGCAGTTTTTTGCATGCATTGCTTCCCTCCGTCTTTAGCCTTCTGCCCTAACAGACTATTTAGGAGCCTGCGTTGGGTCTCATGACCCTGTTAAAGGAACTGTTGCTCAGTACCCTTCATGGTGATTTTTTTTTTTTAAGTATTTCTTCCTTTTACTCAGGGTTAATTCCTGCTTGGTGAGAGTCAGTGCGACTCTTAGAAATCTCCTTTGCTTTTTATGCGGGAAGGTCGGTGTTAAGCAAAACAATACATTTATTTTTAGGAAGATAACCTAATTGGCTAGAGTTGAAATTCCCCATACTGGGTCATGCCTCTTCTTCTTAGAGTCGATTTCCCCGCCAAAGGAAGCAGGCCGCCCCCAGCCCCCAGCCAAACTGTGGCTCTTCCCGAGCGCCAGGGTGATGGAACTTTCTGGAGGCCTGTGAACAGCCAGTGAAAACAGGCCTCCATGCCCCTTGGTTCCTTTCACCTGTGGCAAGGTGACGTTCTTCCCGAACCCACTTGGGGCCTCCCAGGGTCCCAGTGGAACATGAAGTTAACATACCAGGTGTCCATTTTAAAACCGCATTTCTCAGGAGGAGTAGGAATTTTCAAAACAAAGGGCCAGGGCCAGTTGACACAACAGGGTCCCCTCCACCTTCAAAGAACGGGTCGGTCTCACTAACCCTCTCTGGTGCTGGTGCCCCCCTACTGACGGGACTCTGAGGCTCAGACCCTGCCGACACCCACCTGACCAGATTTCGTTGAATGAGGCCCACAGGGTCTCTGTCCTATCAGAGTCCTGTTCTGGCCTGTGGTCACTCTGGGCAGGCAGGCGCCCTGGTCTTTTCAGGGAGCGAGAGAAAGGCCCACGGCCTGCTGAGGACTCGACCCGCGAGCCCTGAGTGGACCTCAGGAAGGCAGGGAAGACGAG